TATATGTTAATTAATTTAAAAATCCCACATAAAACCAGCAGTGCAGGTACTATTCTTATCATCATTTTAAAGAAGAAAACATGCACTAGAGCAGTTAAATTATTTGCCCAAGACCACACATTGGTAAGTGGCATTTACAAGATTTTAACTCACGCAATATGATTCATTTATACGTCAAGCAATTTACCTAGAATCACAAAAGAACCAATATTACTTGAAGCAAGGATTGGTTTCCATTGCAAACCATGTTCTGTCTCAAACCATGAAGAAACAGAAAAGACAGTTTAAAGGTTCACAAATAACAAAATTTCTCTACTTCATACTCTTATGTCAACAAATGATACTTGTATGTGTCTAGAATGGTGATATAGGAACGATTTGATATCAAGAAGGCAATTAAATGATGTTGAAACTGGGATCTTCTTACAGCACCATTCAAAGTGTACTTGAGTCTTCCTTAGGCCAAGGTAGCATCATTGGAGGGCTTATGTTCCAAGAGATTTCCCTTATCTCATTTAAGAATATAACTTAAAAAGAGCCCAACTAAACAAACAAACAAAAAATCTTCCTAATTATATGGGAGAAGTTGGGGGAAACGGGGAGCTAACAATAATAAGTATAAGAGAGAAAACAATGTTCTAAAATTGATTTTGGTGTTGGTTGCACAACTCCTTTTAATATGATTAAACCATTGAATTATATGCCAATAAAACTATTTTAAAATAGCTATGTTTCATTCAGATCCCTGCCATTAAATACATTGTTTTATAATCTTTTCTACACTTAAGAGAAAGATACTATTTTTCTAACCTAGACTACATGGCTATAAGTCTAAAAAATGAAAGCACTTAATATCTATGTAATACATTTTAAACAAAGTTATTTAAAATAAGGAGACATGCTAATTACCTTTTCATATTCTTCTTCAGAGGGATTATATTTCCTCAGCCAGTCTGCAAGTGGCTTATCTTTAAAGGATCCTGTCACACCATATTCCACTTGGATTTTCCTAAGTGTATCTGAAGAAGGAACTAGCTCCACCAGGCCTTTAACAAGAAAATATTAAGTAATGTGAAAATGTACGTAACACTTCAAATTTATAGTTTGCAATTTCTTACAAAAAATACCACCTAGCAAGGATCAATGTTGGCAGCATCTGCTAGACAATAAAATTTCATTACAGTGAGTAATGAAATCTTTATTTTCAAAAGTACCCAAGATATAAAAGATTAAATTTGACCATTTGAAACTCTATAGTCTGCACACTCGTGTGGAAAAATTACTTATTAGATACGTGCTGTCCAATTTCGGCACAAAATTATTGGTCTAATCTTATATTTAGTCAAGATAAGAGTGTTCCAGAGTACATTTAGTGCTTTCAAAGTTAAGATTGTCCTGTGATGTTCAAGTCTAAAGTATGTGTTTGTCTTCCTAACAGGAAGATAAATACCTAGATAGATTTTTGGTTTTCTCATCTCAATCTCTGCCATCGAGTTGATTCTAATTTATAATGACCCCATAAGACACAGTAGAATTGCCCCCTGTGGGTTTTTGAGACAGCAAACCTTCACTGTAGTAGAAAGTCTCACCTTTCTACCACTTGTTTTCTTAGAAATCCTTCAAAATAAGTCTAACAAAATTATGAGACACCCATACAATAGAATACAATAAAATAGCTTTATGTGCTTACACATATAAATCTAAAAAGTATGTTATTTAAAGGCAAAATTCAGATGCAGAACTTTATCTTTTTGTGTTAAAGACTGTTGTTGTATATGCTAGAATATACTAAAGATATTCACAGAAGGCTAAACCAAAGTTTACAATTTAGAATAGGATGCAAGGATTGGGAATGGAAGAATGGGAATGAACTAACATTTACTTTCAATTTAACACAAAATGATCATTCAACCATTAGAAACAACATAAGATAAATTGGAAGTTCAACTAAGTTAACAAAGTGTAGTTATAGAAAACTAACCCAATTGAGATAGTAGGTTCTGGTTGAAAAATCTTGATACAAACAACTTCAATCTTACAAGATTTATAGCCAAAACAAACAAGAAGAAAAGTGGTGTCAAAGATTCAGCAATCAACTTAAAAAAGAGGCCCATGGGTTGGTCTCTCTGGCCCTTTCTTGGGAAAGTCTTTTCAAATGACCTGGCAGAAACTACAAAATATATTTTTCAATTCTGATCATGAGACAAAGAGAGGTTTGATGAAAGAAAACAAAACTCAAGATTTTTTTTAAAAGTTCAAGACACTCTGAAAAATAATGGCTCAAAACAACATGAAAGTTGCTAGTTAAGATCCTTTACTGAGTTATGAGGAGCCCTGGTAGCATTGTGGTTAAGAGTTGGGCTGCCATCCACAAGGTCCGCAGTTTGAAACCACCAACCCCTCTAAGGGCGAACAACTAGGATTTCTACTCCTATAAAGAGTTTGGAAAGCAACAGGGACACTTCTACCCTCTCAGGTCACTATGAGTCAACATTGACTTGTTGGCAGTGTGTATTTTTTTGTTTTGTTTTCTTTTCTTTTAACTTACATATAGGATACAAAATGTACAAGTACAGGAGAACAAAGATATGACTTAGCAGGAGTTAATATAACATAGTAGGCTGAATTGTAGTGCTCCAAAAGATTTGGTGAAGTCCTAACTTCCGTATCTGTGAATATGACTTTGGAAATAGGGTCTTCGAAGATATTATTAGTTACACTGAGGCCCATGTAGAGAAGGATGGGTCTTAATCCTAATGACCAGTATCTTTATAAAAGAGAAGATACTCAGAGAAAGACAAATAAAGAATGGCCAAATGACGATGAAGGTAACTCAGTTGCAAGACAAAGCACACCCTGGGTGGTTGGAAGCCCTAGAAGGGGGGGATGGAGGGGAGCAGCATGGAAGAGTTTCTCTCTGAGTCCTCATAAGAAAACAACAAGAACACTGCTCTGATTTGGATCTTTAATTTCCAGAACAGTGGGTCAAGAAATGTCTGTTCTTATAAACCACCCAGTGTGTGACACTCGTTACAGCAGCTCTAGAAAACTAAGATACATGGTGAAGACTTCCTGGTTTCGTGAGTTCGGTTCCACACGTATGCTCGTTTGCATACTCTTTCACATTCTAAAATATCCAAGGGTCACCTAAAGAGCAAAGACTGTGTGTGAATCCTTTCGAGGGGAACAATCAGGTGATATAAAGAATTAGGAACTCAAACTCTGAGGCCATAATATTGATCATCTTTAAGAGATAAGATACTCAGGGCTGGAATCTGTGGTAGAAGACACTAGGAGCCAGCCTCCATTCACATGGAAATAAGAGAGAACTGTGCAGCTGTCAGAGCTATCTCTGCAGGAGAGAGTGGGCTACCTAGAAATGCAGTGAAGTGCCTTCACTCTAGGCACTTACGCATAACTTTAATGGCAAATATTACAAGGATGATTAGATAAAATAATCTTTGAAGTAGCTTCCTAGAACCTACAAATAAAATGTGTGAAACATTTCTCATTTTATCCAAACATCAGTAACCTTTCTCTCCTTTGAAACTCCATATCACTGCCTTTGTAATTCTAAATGGAGAACTTTTGGCTTATTAAAGCATTTTCTAATTACTTGTATGTCTTTAATTATTCTTTTTAGAAGGTAAGCACTAAGTACTCTCAGCATTTTGTTGATGATAGGCAATAAATATTTGCTGAGCAAGAATAATTGTAACAGTTGTCATTTATTGAGCTCTATGTATCAGATACTCGGTTGTTTTACATTACATCATTTAATCATTATAGTATATCCACAATGATAGTACTATTATTACTCTGTTTACATATATGTTAGGAATAAAAGTGTTCTTAAAGAAAAAAAAAAACCTTTGCAAACTTTTATTTTGCAGAAATATAGTCAAAGTTGACTTAACTGAAATGAGGGCTTATATTTAAATGCAAAAGCTAAAGAACACAAAGCCCTCCTCGGTAGGGTCAATTAAAAGATACTCCTGGTTCCTGCAAAACATTCATTAGGGATACACATTGAGTTGGTTTTTAGAGATTTAATCATGAATCATTGAATCAATAAAGTAATATGAAATTAAAAATTGAGATCACAGTATAATTGCATGCTACATGCATTCGGATCCCTTGGCAGATAACCTCTGAGCGTAAAGAGAAAGCAACAAGAACACTGTCACTGAGTAGAGTGACTCACAGCGGTTCTCTGAGACAGGGTAGAACTGCTCCTTTGGGTTCCCGATATTGCAACTAATAATGTTTCTGATGTTTACAGGAGTAGAAAGCTTCATCTTTTAGCCAAGGAGCAGCTGGTGGCTTTCAACTGTTGGCCTTGCGTTTACCAGCCAAATCCATAACCCACTACGTCACTAGGGCTCCAATAAGTTAAATTTACAGAAAATAAATGTACAAGCACCAAACAACCAACAAGCTACCAGACTTACCCCGATCTCTGCCAGTTGAGAGACATTTGAAAATCACCATCCTCAAATCCAGTCCTTCTTTAAGCCAGATCTTATCCATAATCTTTATCATCTGTAAAGCTAACATATCTTGGCGCAGATCTTCACCAACCTTAAAATCAAGGTAACCGAAGTGAAATGTGTACTTTTCCAAAAAAACATAATTGATTACATCTTATAAAAACTGTGGGGGCGGGGGGGAGTACAGGAGAAACTGAACGGTGAGACGAGTGAAGAACAAGATGAAGAGAATTGCCTTTTGAGTCTTATGCAGAATTCCAGGAAGTTACTTAACCCCTTCATGACTGCTTCCTAGTTATTAAAATGGAAAAAAACTACCTAATTCATAGGGTTTTCAAATGGGTAAATGAATTAATATTCATCTATATAAAGCACATAGTGAATACTCAGTATGTTTTAATTATTATTTAAAACTGAAACCTATAAATGTGAGAAATCCTGGAACTTAAAATTTATCTAGGTGCCTTTTCCTCAGATACATAAGGAGAAATTGATATATTTGTAGATGAGAAAAAAAACCTTTGTTGCTAGCAGATCTAAAGGAAAGAAAAAATAAAACGTACTTGCAACAGCAAGAAAGAATGAACATGGTAAAAAATGTATGGGTGAACGCAATACATGGTCCCTTCCCCTTCTTGCCTTTTCTAAATTGTCTGAAGCAAACCAAGAAGGAAGAAGAGAGCTTGAGGGTCTAGACCCCATATGGGCACCCCAAGCCCTGAGGACGACATTATACTGACTAAATAAAACATAAAAGGACAAATATTGTATGAGCGCACTTGTATAAAATACCTAGAATATTTCATACAAATGTTTCAGTAACAAATGCCTATTTATTACTGGTTAACAGGGATGGGTAGTAGTTGAATCTGGGAAGGTACTGCTTAAGGCAGTGGTTCTCAACCTTCCTAATGCTGCGGCCCTTTCATACAGTTCCTCATGTTGTGGTGACCCCCACCATAAAATGATTTTCGTTGCTACTTCATAACTGTAATTTTGCTACTGTTAAGAATCGGGCGACCCCTGTGAATGGGTGTTCGACCCCCAAGGGGTCATGACCCACAGGTTGAGAACCACTGGCTTAAGGGATGCGGAGTTTCTATTAAGAATGAAGAAGACAGGGGAGGGAGGGAAAAAATGAGGAACTGATACCAAGGGGTCAAGTAGAAAGCAAATGTTTTGAGAATGATGAGGGCAACAAATGTACAAATGTGCTTGACACAATGGATGTATGTATGGATTGTGATGAGTTCTATGAGCCCCCAATAAAATGATTAAAAAAAAAAAAGAATGAAGACATTTGGAAATGAACAGTGGTGATGGGTGCACATGGTGAAGAGATCACTAATGAAACATATAAAGAAGTTGAAATGGCAACTTTTTAAATAAAGCAACAACCCACCTCACCAAAAATTTCAAAACAAAACATCTTAATTTTATTTTGCTCACCTTAAACATAATATTAATTTCTTCCCCCAGAGGATCATTATTGACCATTGTGACTTTCAGGGGCATAGCATTAGAATTGAAGAAAGAACAGGTCTGCAAATAAAACATTGAGCATTACAAAGCTAACATGGAATAAAAATGGATTTAAAAGTTTTACTTTCCTAGCCATTTATCATTTCCCTCTTAATTATGGTAAATGAAACAACATAGATGAACTCTGTTATTAGATATCTGGCTGATAATATTCTGGAAAATATTTCTGAAACACAATTATAGCATGTGGGGCTATATTGTCTACTCTTCATGCAGGAAAGCTGAGGCTTCCTATTGCTGGACAGTGACATTCTGGGAAAGCCCCGGGGCAATTCTACTCTGTCTTACAGAGTCACTAGGAGTCACAATCAACTCGATGACAGCGAGTTTGGTTTTCTTAGAGGCAGAGAAAGAAAAACTTAAAAAACTGAGATAAAAATTTTTTGATACGCTCATCCTTCCTCTAAACCACAGCAGTTTGGGATGTGATCTGCACTATAGCTATGAAATAAAAAATTGATAGAATTTAATAATCTCATTAGCAAAGATTTAAGTATTATTTTAACATAAAATCTATTTAAAACAAACAACAAAGAAAACCAAGGAGAATGTTTAAGTTTTTCCTTCTTGATATGTAACTTGGTTAAACAGTTCAGGCACATCTACTGTTAAATACCAGTATAAAAATGTCACAGGTCAACCTAAAAAAAAAAAAATCAAGTCTGAGACTCATTTACAGTCATATACTATTCTTTCAAAATCACAAATATGCTAATGAATAAATTTGTTCCTTTTGCTAAACTCATGTTGAGAATATCCAATGGTTGTATTAACATTGGCCACATGTCCAAATACAATTACTCAATTTTGATGGTTACTCAATTACTTTCTGATCATCCTAAAAAGTGCTAAAAACCTGGAAGAGCCTGGCCTTTTAAGAAGAAACAACAAAGCCTTCCTATGATGAGGTAGCTATGCTCTTGGAACTGCAAAACACACCTGTCCTATAGCTATCAGCTATTACACATAGGGAAAATAATCTATTTTGAAATTGAAAATATCATGCTTTTTTTAAAAAGAATGCTAAGTAGGTAAAAATAAGCTGAGATAAATATGGACTTTAATCACAAATATAGATCCATGCACAGTTAGAACGAACCTACTCATGCTTTAGTCTTATGTGCCTTAAGCATACTTGCCCATCATTTGCTTTCTTTCTATGCTGTTTTGAAATATAATGTGAACTTATAAGTATTTTATATGTCACCTTAATATTTAATTCCTTTGCCACAAGACTTGGATTGAGAGGAAGACGACATTTATTCCTTAGAAAAAAGGATTGTACTCGATCCATACTCTTTTGGAGGACAACCTATAGAAAGAGATTGATACGGTAAATACATAATGAAAATGAAAACTTATTCTTAAAATATAAATTACCTTTCTTAAATTTCAGTTAAATATTTTATTACAAAAAGCTCAGCTGTCAAATGTCAAAAGAGGTTATTGCTAAAGATAATTAATTTTTACTATTAAAAACAAAATTAGAATAGGAAAAAGTAAAAATGGCCAACCAACATGAACAAAAGTGTAAAAACTCACTAACTGTGAAAGCAATACAAACAAAGCAAAACTTATCCTAGCAGATAAAAATGTAAAGTATTATCCATTGTGGGAAGATCTGTTGGGAAGTAGTAAGGTGTATATATAGACATTTTTTTTATAGAGACATGTTTTTTGTTGTCATTGTTAAATAATTTAGCAGGAATTGTCTTAACTTAAAATGTGCATAGTTCTTGACTCTGGTCTTTCTCTTGTAGGAATAGCCTATAAAGAAATCCAAGCAAAAGAGAGCTAAGACCTATGCATTTAAGTTCATTGTTTCATTGTTTGAGAGAGAAATGAAAATGTAAAACACCTACATAGAAGTAATGGTGCAATATCTGGTGTTATATGCACCTGTTAATAAAAATGGAGTATGACTATAAATAATGGCATATATCACCAAAATGAAATTTAATAAGCAAATACCAAAAATTGTGTCTAAGTCACTGAAACATTTTAAAAGACCTAAACAAATGGAAAGACAGCCTGAGTTCAGGAGTTAGATTTAATATAGGTAAGTTTTACAAATTAATGTATATATTCAATACAATATCAAACTTCCAGCTACATATTTCATTAGTAGACAAGTTAGTCTTAAAATTCATATTTAGAGAAGCTAATTCCAGGAACCCAAGCGGAAAGTGAATTTTGAGAATGATGAGGGCAAAAATGTATAAGTGTGCTTTACACAATTGCTGTATGTATGGACTGTTATGAATTGTATGAACCCCAATAAAATGATTTTAAAAAAATTCATTTTTAGTTGCAAGGGTCTAAGTAGCCAAAACAATCTTAAAAAACAAGAATGAAGTTGTACAACTTATATTTTTCAATTTCAAAATTAATACGTTACAGTAATTAAAACAGTATGGTACTGGAATAAGAACATACGTACAGATCAATAGGATAAAACTGAGAGTCTGGAAATAAGTCCATACTCTACAGCCAACTGATTTTTAACACAGTGCCAAGAACCATTCAAGGGGAAAAAAAACAGTCTCTTCTACATATGGTGCTGAAACACCTGGAAAACCACATGCAAAAGAATAAAACTGGACTTGTACCTTATTCCATATATGAAAATTACACTCAACATGGATCAAAGGTATAAATATAAGAACCAAAACCATACAACTCTTAGAAGAAAGTATACGATAAATCTTCCGGACCTTGAATCTAGTAATGAATTCTTAGATATGACAATAATACCATGAGCAGCAACAAAAGAAAATAAAACTTCATTAAAATAAACATTTTAGATGAAAGATGGTATTAAATAGAAGACACTTCATAGAATGTGAAAAAATATTTGTAAATCTTCTCTCTCATAAGGAATTTGTATTTAGTACCAATTTTATCTAGTACCAAGAAGTCCTACAACTAATAAAAAGACAAACCAAAGAAAAATTGGGTAAAGACAATAAGCAGATAATTCTCCGAAAATATATACAAATGGCCCAAAAGCATATGAAAAAAAAATCTTTAACATCATTAATCATCAGAGAAATTCAAGTCAAAATAATAGCATTTTATGCCCAGTAAAATGACAATAATAAAAACAATGGAAAATAACAAGTGATGTAGAGACATTGGAACTCTTACACTTCCTGGTAATAATGTAAAATGGTACATTGTTGTGGAAAACAGCTTTGGAGGTCTTTTAAAAAGCTAACGGTTTTAGCAGAGCTTCCAGACTAGGAACAAATTATGATGGATTTTTATTGGCTGTCCACTTTGGAATGATTAGTCGCTGCAAACCTTATGAAGAGCAGCAGAACATTGTCAGATACACTGAAAACTTTATGCATACCCACAATATCGTGCTGGAAGATAAACCCCTCAGATTGGCAGGTACTCAAAATATAACTGAGGATGGGCTGCCTTCTCAAAGGAGTCTACTCTACTGACATTGATGGAGTATCGCTTTTGAGACTTTCAATTGCTTGAAGAAGTATGAATCAGTATGAGAAAAAATAGCTGTACAAATGTGCTTGACACAATGGATGGATGTATGGATTGTGATAAGAGTTGTACGAGCCCCCAATAAAATGATTTTAAAAATAAGAAGAAAAATAATTGTAACATAGAATGTATACAATATGAACCTAGGAAAAGAGAAGGACATTAAAAATGAAACAATGCACAAAGATGAATATCCTAGGCATTAGTTAGATGAAATGGACTGGTCCTGGCCATCTTGAATAAAAAAAAAAAGTGTCGACTGTGATAAGAGTTGTAAGAGCTCCGAATAAAATGATTAAAAAAAACTTGTAGACACGCTTGATTATGTATGAGATCATAGAAATTTATCTACATTTGTTAGTACCACAAAGAGTCTTTATCATCAAAATAGTCAGGATTCCTTTGTGACTACATACCTGTCTGGCTGATCCACTCGCCTGCCTTACTTTTTCGGCGACTCCTCCTAAAAGCTGCACGAGTCTTGTCTGCTTTAGAAGTTCTTCTCTCAGTCCTTTTCCTCCCACGGAAAGAAGAGCACCCAAGACATGTTCATAACGAGTACCAAACTGTGAGTCATGCAGAGCATCCTTCAGGAGCCTACACAGAAAAAGATTTGTGTCAGCCACTTATACCCCCAAAATTCAATTTAACAAGTTTAATTTTTGTAACCAGGAATTTAAGTTCTAAACCAAAAAAGGTCCTTACTATATGACACAAATGTTTGTGCTCAACTACTGAGTCAAAGGATGGTGATTTGGACCCAGCCAGGCATACTGCAGAAGATGAGCCAGACAGTCTACTGCTATTAATACTCCAGTCAAGAAAACTGATGGAGCAGTTCTGTTCTCTAACACATGACTGCTTCAGACTTACTCACTTACTTATTGACTATCGGTAACAGCAACAATCACAACAACAAACAGCTGCTGTCAAGCTGATTCAGACTTGCGGCAACCCCATGTGTGTCAGAGTAGAACTGTGTTCCATAGCATTTTCAATGGCTGATTTTTGGGAAGCCAATAGCCAGTCTTTTCTTCTAAAGGGCTTCAGGGTGGTCTCAGACCTCCCAACTTCTCACTTAACAGCAGAGTTGATTAACCATTTACCATAACCTAAAGAATCACCCAGGGGTTCTTTAGGCCAGGGGTCCTCAAACTTTTTAAACAGGGGGCCAGTTCACTGTTCCTCAGACACATTGGAGGGCTGGACTATAGTTTGAAAAAAAACTGTGAACAAATTCCTATGCACACGGCACATCTTATTTTGAAGTAAAAAAACACACGGGGCAAAAATACCTGGCAGGCTGGATAAATGTCCTCAGCGGGCCACAGTTTGAGGACACCTGCTTTAGGCTATATAAGCAAGTATAGAAATCACCAATTACTTACTGCTACACCATGCAAAATAACTTGCAACAGAAGGTTTTAAACTTTGGGGGGTTATTTCTAAGGAAATATTGTTAGCTTCTTTAAGATAATGCCTTTAATGAACTATCTTGCTTTATTGTGGAAAGTGGTCATATTATTTGGACTTAAGAGTGAGTCATTTCTGTAAATACTAGTAACAGAAATAAGATACTTTGTAAAAAATTAATCTTACCAATATAAATTGTGTGCTATCTGGATATTTGCCAATGCTCTGGACAGAAGGAAGCACACTAATGAGCTGTTCAAGTAAATTTCATATTTCAAAGCCTACATGTAAAGGAAAATAGGAGTTATTAATGGTAAGATAGGCTTGCCCTTCCTCCACCATTCTGATAAGTGCAGCCACCTTCCATTCTTACTACGTCTTCTCATAAGACTTTTAGGATTAAGAGATTCCTGGCCAAGAAACAGAAACAGAATCGCCCCATTTCCCAATGGACTCAAAGGGAAACTATTTAAAAGTTAGGTACAACTCCAAGAGATGTTGGAAAAGAGCTCAGCTGGGCCTGCAGGAGTCACATATGTGACTCGAGTCACAAAGGACTCACCTAGAATCACTAGCATTCTCCCATATCAAAATCTAATAAGTTGAACATATATTGGAAAACACCTGATTTCTTCCTTTGGTTTGATGCTCCTGCATTCAGTGATTGACTAATAAATATGTAAAACTTTTGGTTTCAAGGAAATAATTTTCAAGGCACAAACTATATAAAGCAGGTTATTCCTCTTACTGATGGGTGATGGGAAACGATACACTTAAAAATGACAGATAAATTAACTTAGGATGAATTAATGAAATCAAGCAGATAATTATAAATTTATAAGTGGCATTTATAAAGTTATTAAATTTAAAACTTAAGGAAAAACTCAACTCTGATTTGTCTTAAGATTCTAAAAAGTCTGGGAAATTAAAAACCAGGTAAATATCTATGGTCTTCAAAAAGTCCATGGAACAATTCCAGTATCTTTTAGTTCAATTTTCCCATAAACTTTTTGAAAGATTCAAGTGGGAAACCTGACAAGAGTGGGTGAAAAATTTAAAAAATTCACAAATCAAAATACTCAAATGCAATCTCTTAAACCACCTCACACTACAAAAGTACTTTTAATCAAAACAGATGGGTCAGCCCTTGGCAAATTCACTGCTCATTAAAAAGAAAGGTTGAAGAGGCAGATAACCTAGTAAAATACTCACTTGCACAAATTGTGGAAGGAGATCTGTTAGCTCATCATCACTAATGGCCTCAATCCAGGAAACAGCTAGGGATCTCACTTCCTGATCAGCAAACCTAGAACACCACAACAAAAATCATGATTTGATAGTGATCTTTCTAATGAGACTGCTTTGTCTGAAAACACAACCTCAATCTATCCCCGAGAAAGAATCCTCTAATAGTTTCATTCAAAACAATATATTAGTCTTTCTTTTACACCCTAACCTTTTGATTAGTTTTAAGAGATGAAAATGTCTTTTGTATAACTTCAATGAAATATGTACATATATATATATTTACACATTTATATGAACTGCTGCACTACTACTACATCAGAATACCGCTCTAAAGAAATCGATAACAATAAAGCAGAGCTAGTAAATGCATTCGCTGTGGACTTACTGCGCATCAAGAAGCTCTAATGCAGTGAGTGGGTGCAACGGCGGCCATCGTTGAAGCAATGAGTAAGTCTTGGCAAGATTAACCCAATTCCAGTTTGGGGCACTTGCTAGTATTTTTGGGAGACAATCTGGGTGTTTGAAACAATAATAACGTTTCTCCCATAAAAATGCTTTCTCTTCTTTAGAAAGTCTGCACATACAATAGAACTAAATTAATTTCTGATGACTTAATAATGACAGTTATAATCAAAATGATTGAAAACTAAAAGAAAAAATGTATTCATTTTGGGGCAGCCATTCTTGATAGAATCATTAATACTAATTAGAAAAATGCAATATATATTTTGTGGAGGGGAAGAAATCATTCTGTCTGGATAAGAATCTTAGTTATGTACGAGCCCCCAATAAAATGATTAAAAATAAAAAAGAAGCATCTTAGTTATGAAAACCAGGTACAATTTAAGCACAACTAAGCAGATTCCAGGCACTAGAACCAGCAAAACCTACCATGACAGACTCAAGGATTTCATTACTTCACAAAAGTAATGGGTTTACAAAAGCAGTGGTTTTAAGCACTTGGCTAATAACAAGGAGGTTGGTAGTTTGAATCCACTAGGAACTCTGGAGAAAAATACGGCCATCAACTTCCATAAAGATGATGCCTTAGAAACCCAGGGAATAGTTTTATTCTGCCCTATAGGGTTACTATTACTAAGAACTGACTTAACAGAAACAGGTTAATATGAAATGCCATGCCAGAAGCAAATGTTACTGTCAAATTCTTTAAGATGATTCTCAATTGAGGAATATTAAATATTAAAAGTATTTCCTGAGATGTGGTCAATTAGTATGGCCCTTCTTCACATAATTCCTAAAGTAATGCACATTTTAATTCTGGACTCCATGCCTGTGGCTATAATCCCACTTGGGAGGAAGCTCTCTGCTATACTGATTGACTTTAGCAGAGGGTGTAAACCCAGTTACACCTTTTGTTTCCTTAGGATATCGTCTGCTGAAAGACCAAAAACACACTTCCATCAAAGCCATTCCTGTGTGTATAAGAGCCATCTTAGACACAGAGAAATACCAAGAAGAGCACATTCCGTGGAGGCAAGGACCAGAAGCACCAGAGATTTTGGAAGGGAGAGGCCCAGCCAAGGAAAGCATGAAACAGAACACAGCAGTAGTACTAAAACTATAGGACTCTGTGGCAGCGTGAAAGGTGGGCTTCCTGATCCATAGGGGCAGAAGCCAAGAGACCATGTGCTGAGAGGCTGAGCAAGACCTGGCTGCTGGCCAAGGAGATGTTGCTGTGGACCAATTACTGTGTCCTTACGATTTACTGATTCTGATTTACGGCAACCTATTAACTTCCCTGGTATTACTATAATTGTGAGTCTTGTCTGTGAGTTTCCATGTGGCCACTGCAATGAATTCTCAAATCCAGCATAGAAGTAGAGCGCTAAGGGATATACGATTGGTGCCAGAATAGGGTAATGAGAGATGGAGGGGAAAACAGGTCTGACCCTTGCTGCATGGCAATCAGGAAGCCAGGGAGGTTAGAAACAGCCCTCCATGCTGTTATTGCATACTTCTTTGGATTCAAGTTATATTACGTTTAATGAGAAATGTTTACATGAATATTTCACTATTTTATTATCTGTTCAGTTTTTATTATCTAATGTATACATATTGCTAATAAAATATTGTAAAAAAGTGTAATGACTTTAATAACTTTCCAATTTGTCTGCTCAGAGGCAACTGCCTAAGCTTCTGCATTCTTACAGTTATTCTATTCACAGAGAACCATGTATATGGGTGTATGTATAGGCCTTCATTCCTTTATACTAATAGTATTCACAAACTTTGTATATTAAACTCCTTGCTGTCTTCATTTAACTTATCTTACCTATTATAACATAGAGCTAGCTGTAATTATGTAGTATTATTCTACTGGATAAATTTACCCTTAAACCCTATTGATGGAATATTTCTATTCAGTTTTTAATAATTCAGTGATAATGTAATGAAAATTCTTGTTTCCATTAGCAAAGTATAAAAGGGTTTTTTTCTAATATATGTATATGAAACTGCGTGCAGAATTGCTGGGTCACAGAATATGCACATTAGATCTTTTCAGATTTTGCCAAATTGTTCTCTAAAGAGGTTGCACCATTTTAGTTTCATAAATAGTAAAGTTCGCTTTTTTCCTTCTCAACAATTTAATCTTTACCAAATTGAAGTGTGTAAAATATTACCTTGTATTAGTTTATATTACCAGAATCGAACACTTTTCATATTTTAAAAGCTATTAGAAATACCTACTTGTATTGCCCAATTTACTATAGAGTTGTTGCTCTTTGTTATTAATAAAAACATTTGAGATATTAAAGAAATTAACCTATTTGTAATTACTGTAAATATAGTCCCCAGCCTGTTATGTATCATTTATATACATAAAGTTTGACTTGGGGAAATTTCTATAGTTTTTATGTAATTAAAAATAAATACATCAGCTAGAACACTTTCCAAACCAAGAAACTAGCAAAAACACAAATTAAACCAGTGCATTTAATGGAAGGTCTTTGAGCTTTATAATAGGTAACAGGACAAAATCAAAAAACACGGATCATACCCAAATGAGTCTTTGTGAAGAATGTCAGTAAGTTTCTCTTTTATATCATTTTCCAATGTTTCTAAATCTTGCTGCTGTATAATGCTTCTGTCAACTTCAGGAGTTGTATAAAGGACATCAAATGGCGGAGAAGGGAAGTCAACCTTGAAATTTTTAATAGAAGTTAATTATTTTACAGCCTTGTAGTCCACTTTTTCCCACATTGTCTTTGAGAGAAATTCTCAGCAATAGTGCCTTTTGTCAACTTACAATTGCCTTATATGCAAAAGAAAAATGAGGCTGTTTACTCCTGTAGAGATTTCCAGCCTTGATAACTCAAAGGGGTAGTTCTACTCTGTCCTACAGGGTCCTTTGAGTTGGAATAAACTTGCTACCAGTGAGCAAAGTTTTATGTCAATTGACTTTGATATCCTGAGACTATGGCCCTGAACGCCCAAACACAGGGGCTGGTTCCTCAACGTGTTGTAGTAAGGTTTCAGTTCATAACTTGGTCTCTGTATGCCCCACCATATTCATGGATATATCTGCAACAAAAGTATACACGTATAAATATTCTATTTGGGGTTTATACCCACTCTATCCTCTGCATCTGTTAATCTGTGCTTTTATCCATCCTTCTTCTTGTAGATCACCATGATTGCAAGATTATGAACAGTATATGTTGCCTTTAACTCTTGCAATTCTGTCTTGTCCCCATCTCCATTTTTGCTGATCTTATTGCATATCGTCTTCCCCTTCACCTCCTACCCTAGTAATCATCACAGAATGTTTGTGGTGAAAACCTTTCTTGACTTCTTAAAGTTCAAAAAACAAAGACTCACTACCATCGGGTCAATTCTGACATACCCTTTCAGACAAAGTAGAACTGCCCAGTGTCTGAGACTGTCTTTAACTCTTTTATGAGAAGACAAAGTCTCATCTTTTCCCATAGAAAAGCGGTTGGTGGTTTCCAACCAATGACATTGAAGTTAGTAGTTCCACTCATAATCCATTAAGGCACCAGGGCTCCTTGACTTCTTACAATAGTACTTTCATACAGTTATTTGCGTTTTTTTGACCAACAAATTTCACTCAGCATAATGCCCTTCATGTTTAAGCATGTTTTATTGTATTTCATAAATTCAGTTATTCTTAATAATGATTTAATGATCAACTTAATAATGACTTAATAATTGTGGGCATTTCTTCAAATTTCCTATTTGCTTGGACGTCTTGTTTTATAACACCAACTTTTAATAAAGAAATTTAAATGTAACCTCCTTGTATTTGTAGTAGCAGCATTACCTGTAGCACTATTCTTTCCATCACATATCCTTTTTTGGGTATTGTTGCTGGGATAGGATTTGTATGTGATGAAGTCCAAAGATATAGTAATTTAGTTCCACATGTTAAAAACCTTCATGAATATAAACAGAAGAATATTGGTGATTTTCATTTTAAAATTCCAAATTCACAACACACTGTAAAAGTATTTGAAATGTTATACAATCTTGTAAGATTATATCAAAAGGAATCAGTTTTAAATACTCTACTGAGACTTGAGGCAAGTATACTGATGTAAGAAATGAGAACTAAGGGAGGGAGTAGAATCCTGGAATGAACAGAATTGAGGAGAAAATAGAAGATGTGTAAAGGCTGTTTCATGTCCCTAAAAGCAGCTTCTAAAGTAGGAAGGAGCAAGGACACTGTCTTTGGAAATTTTTTCAAAGGAATACGCATCAAATTAGTTTGTATTACAGAATTACATGTATTACATGCTGAGACAACCAAAATACACTTGTGCCAAAGCACCAATTATTTGAGTTGAGACATTACATTTAGACTCTAGATCAGTGGTTCTCAACTTTCCTAATGCCATGGCCCTTTATACTACAGTTCGTCATGTTGTGGTGACCTCCAACTATACAATTATTTTTGTTGCTACTTCATAACTGTAATTTTGCTACTGTTATGAATTGGGCAACCCCTGTGAAAGGGTCGGTCGCCCCCTCCCCCCCAAAGGGGTTGCAACCCACAGGTTGAGAACCGCTGTCCTAGGCAAAGAGTCAGCAAACTTTTTGTAAAGGGCCAGATAGTAATTACTTTAGGCCTTGTGGGGTACATAGTCTCTATCACAAATACTTCCTTCTGTCACAGAAGTGCATAGTATACTGTACATGTATACTGTGTTCTAATAAAACTATTCACAAAACCAAGTGGTGGGTTAAGAGATTGCTGACCTGTGTGCCCTAGAACTACTAATTTATATCCTACTTAAGCTACCATATTGATTAATAAAGATATTGGCATAGTTTTATATATGAGATTTCTAGTTCAAGTAGAAAACTTTTTGGAAATAATGATGGCAATATATGTACAAATATGCTTGATACAACTGATGTATGGAATGTTATAAGAGTTGTAAGAGTCCCCATTTTAAAATGATTAAAAAAAAGATTTCTAGAAAATAAAATCAGACACATAAACACAGAAAACTATAAATTTTGCCAATCTTTGTTCATCTTAATCAAACATTCTTTCTCTTAACAAAATGACAACCTTTGGAACTTTCTTACATTTCAATCTTTATAGAAATATGCTAATCCCAATTCCCTGATTGTCTCAGAATTTTTCATAATGAGACAAAGGCTTGTAAATTTTTTGGCTAGTCCAAATCAGGATCCAAACAAGATCTACTACTTGCATTTAGTTGATATGTCTCTTTTAAAAGTATCTCTTAAGTCAGTGGTCTGTAAATGCTAGCCTACATTAGTTTTTGTAAATAAAGTTTTATTAGCATACTTCCAAACTAATTTGTTTACATATTGTCTGTGACTGCTTTTATGTTTGGTTTTGATTTTATATTACTTGGCCTGCAAGGCCTAATGTATTTTCTATGTGGCCTTTAAAAAAAATGTCTAGTAACCCTAATCTTAATCTATACATAATTCCTCCCCACTTTCCCCACTGCCATTTGTTTGGAGAGAGACAAAGACTATATCTCTATAAAATTTCCTAGATCTTAGATTTTACTGGCTGCATTTCTTTTACATGATCTTTCTTTTGGTGACACTAAGATTAATACGTCCCGGAACTATGAATCTAACCCATCCACTACTAAGTTCCAGAAAGGCTACTCACTTAATGGGTTAAGCAGGACTGTTAGTCTTATGGCCCAGATCAATAATTCTTCACAAGAGGAAATTTTGCCCGTTTCCCACCCCCACAGACAATTAACAATATCTTCTTTTTTTGTTTAAATAAAATTTTATTGTGTTTCAGTGAAAGTTTACATAGCAGATTAGGTTCTCATTTAACAATCTGTATGCAACTGGTTACATTTTTTTTCAAGTCAAAGAAAACAGGATAGAATAAATAACAAATTAAGAATGGACTAAAAGGGATAGCATATGATAAGATGTTAAGATTTATCTTAATTATATCGGTATTAATTCACTTTCTGATGTACTCTGTCTGACAGAAGGGCTTCTCACACCCCTGGTCAATGGTCTGAGACTTACTCCCCATGGGGTCTCTGCAAATGGATTCTGGGCTTTCACTGTCCTCCATTGCCTTCTGCAAACTGGGTGCTCAGAATTTAATCTCTAATACATTCTCCTCCTGACCTTGGATTTTGTTATTTATAATTTTTAGATCACTCAGGCTTATATGCTTCTTCCAATGCAGGCTTAGATGGCTGCTTGTTATAATACAATATTAAAAGACCTCAGAATTGGATCAGTGTCAAAATTTGGACTCATCAGAATGTAGATTTAAAAATCTTATACTGCCTCTTCAAATATGAAGGGAGTGATTAAAAGTGATTTTATTAAAATACAGAAATAAACACTATTTAAACACATGGACTTACCGTTTAAAGTCAAAAAGAGGTAAGGAAACTTTCCCCAAAGCTTCTGGCCCCTTTCTTTGCTTATTAGAATCAGGGGAACTTCCACTGCTCTGACTTAAAATTCCAAAAAGAGTAAGGTGAAGAAGTGATTCTAATGGCAATTGTGATATCTGGATGGGGAAAAGGATTCTACGAGGGAAAATGTATCAACAGAAAGAGCAAATTAGGTTAAATGTGCAGTTTAAGTTTTTAATTAGATTGAAAATTTAGTTACCTTATTTAACTTATCTTTATTCCTAAATACCTTTAACTGAACAGATAGCAAACCTGCTTAATTATTAAAAGGTTTAAATAGCCCTTTTAGACTAAATAAGGATCCTGTGGATTTCTCTTCCAAAGTATCCCCCTATTCAATAAACTTACTTTTTCTGTTTAAACCTTAAAAAAAAAAAGTTTAAATAAGCAAATTTCATTATCAGTATAAAATTTTAAAATAAAACATTTGTTCCTGTAAAAATAATCCTGGAATGCCACATAAGGACAATAGTGATAATTTTGGGGAGGCCATTGGATGCTAAATGCTAAAAATAAGATAACCCTTTTGAACCTAATAAGCATTTCTGTATTATTTAATCGAAAGGACTCCTGGTGGCACAGAGATTAAGTAACCTGCTACTAAATGAAAGGTTGGCAATTCAAACTTGCCAGCTGTGGGCAAAAGATGTGACAGTCGGCTTCGATAAAGATTTACAGCTTTAGAAACACTATGGGACAGCTCTATCCCATTCTATAAAGTCACTATGAGTCAGAATTGACTAGGTGGTAGTGCAGGGTGGTAGTGGTGATTATTTGATTGCCTTCACAAGAGGAAATTTTGCCCTCTCCACCTCTTGCCCTATCCTATGCCTTCACAGACAATTGTTGCTTTGCAATTTAAAATAATGAAAAAACAAAAAGATGAAAAGTTCTGCAATTTCTGAACTACTAAATACTGAAAGAATACCCTCAGTTTGGAAACAAGATTTAGAAAATAATAACCAGGGGGCTTAAGTGGAGAGCAAGTGTTTTGAGAATGATGAGGGTAATGAATGTACAAATGGGCTTTGCACAATTGATGTATGTATGAATTGTGATAAGAGTTGTATGAGCCCCTAATAAAATGATTTAAAAAAAGAAAAGAATAACTACTGTCATTAAGTTGATTCTGATTCAGAGATATCCTACAGGGCAGGATAGAATTGCCCCCTTTGGATTTCCAAGACTTAAAATGTATAGAAGGACTGACTCCCCATCTTCCTCCTGCGGAATACCTGATGGGTTTGAATTGCTGACCTTGTGGTTAGCAGTTCAGTGCATTGTGCCACCAGAACTACTTTTGTATATCAGTGTTGGAGAAAAAGTACTAAAGTAAACAATGCTGTAGAACTCCGTCTTTCGGGCAGTGAATGTACAAATGTGTTTTACACAATTGATGAATGTATAGATTGTGATAAGAGTTGTATGAGCCCCTAATAAAATGATTTTTTTTAAAAACACACCATCTTTCTAGAAGAACTTTATATAAATTTGTATCAAGTTAAAATCTAGGAAGAATTAATGGCATGCTACTATAATTAAACACTGTACTCACAAACCAAACTCACTCACTTGATGTCAACTCACGGTGACCCTATGGGATAGGAGGAGAATTCTCTGTGGATTTCTGAGACTGTAACTCTTTTTTTTTTTT